ATGTGGAGAATATGCGTCAGCTAAGACCTATTAGTTTGTGTCAATTCGTCTACAAAATAATTACCAAAATTATGTCGGAAAGATTAGCTCGTTTTCTCCCCATGATAATTTCGCCGGGGCAGAACGCATTCATTCGTGAAAGAAAAATTGTGGATAATGTTCTGATTGGGCATGAATTGATGCATTATCTCAAAATTAAAACCAAAGGAAAAAAGGGTTTATGGCTCTGAAGGTTGATATGGAGAAGGCCTATGATAGAGTTGAATGGCCCTTTTTAGTTGCGGTTTTAAGGAAATTGGGATTTGATCCCATTTGGGTCCAATGGATTGAGGAGTGCTTGCGGTCCTCCTCGTTTTCTGTGTTGATGAATGGTACACCAGCGGGTTACTTTACAGGCACGCGGGGACTGCGGCAAGGTGATTCGTTGTCTCCCCTCCTCTTTGTTATCTGTACGGAAGGATTTGCGGCGTTAATACGAAAGGCCATTGAGGAGCGGAAGCTGGCAGGCGTCCGGGTTAGCCCCAGAGCCCCGCGTGTGTCGCATTTATTCTTTGCGGATGATTCGTATCTTTTCCTCAGATGATCGATGCAAGAATGTGATAACCTGCTGGAAGTCTTAAATGAATACGAGGAACTTAGTGGGCAGAGGGTGAACTTGGCTAAGTCGGCGGTCTGCTTTAGTAAAAACATTTTGCCAGGGGATCAAGAATCTCTTTCCCTTCGACCGGGGTTTGAGCTGTCGGTGTACACGATAAATACTTTGGTTTACCTACTTTGATTGCTCAATCCAAGATGGCTACTTTCCGTTATTTGGAAGAGAAGCTGCTGGAATGGCTGAAGGGTGGAAGCAGAAGGTGCTTTCGTGGGCGGCTAAGGAGACGTTGATTAAATCTATCGTGTTCTCCTTCCCACTTCATGTTATGTCATATTTTAAACTCCCTCTTTCTCTTTGTCGTTTACTGGATAAGCACATAGCTAGATTCTGGTGGGGAGTGGAGGGGGGTCAACCCCGAGTTAGGTGGATCTCATGGCGTAACCTGTGTACAAGCAAACATGATGGGGGATGGAATTTCGGCGTTTTGAGCATTTTAGTCAAGCTCTCTTGGCTAAGATTGGCTGGCGTATTCTTACGGAGCCGAATTCCCTGTTGGCCCAGATTTATAAATGAAAATACTTTTCGAATGGTACTTTCCTCTCGGCGACTGCGCGATCCCGCCCTTCGTGGGGATGGCAGGGTATTCTCCATGGCCGATGTCTCCTTCAACGAGGACTTAGGTGGCAGATTGGGGATGGGCGCCAAGTCTCTATACAACATTCTAGCTGGGTCCCGTATACTCACCCCTACCCTCCCCGTGTGAATCCCCAGGCCATCCCGGAGGACGCTGACCCTAAAGTGGCTGACCTTATAACGGAGGATGGGGGAGGGTGGTGTTGTCAGTTGGTCCATCAGATGTTTCCACCGGATGTAGCTCGTGCCATCTTGGCAATCCCCTTGCCTCGCACGGGTATTGTGGATAAGCTAGTGTGGCATGATACTTGTGATGGCATTTTCACTGTCAAGTCTGCTTACCATTTGGCTGTTTTGACGGCTAGACAGTTAGGGTCGTGGCGACCCGTGGTAAGCTGGATGGATAGGTCGACTTGGATGCACCGTGGGGGCTCCCGATCCCACCTAAACTAAGGTTATTCCTTTGGCAAATTTTTCATCGTATCTTGCCTACGACTGAAGCTTTGATTGAGAAGAAAGTCCAGATTTTGCCTCGATGCCCGGTGCGTTGGGCGGAATCTGAAACAATGGAGCACCTTTTTTGGCAATGCCCGATTGCGGAGGCCCTTTGGGCTCACTCAGGTCTGAATCATTTGGGTCATGGTTTGCCTCGTCACACCTTCTCTCTTTTCCTTAAAAGATGTATGCATATGTTGTCCCAACCTGATCAAATTATGGCTTTGGTGGCACTCCTGTGGCGTATGTGGAAGTTTAGGAATTGGGCTGCCTTTGAGGGTAAGCAGTACTTAGTTCCTCAACTAATGCGTCAAAACCATCAGCAACTCCATGAGTGGGTGTCCTTGCCAGTGGACCTGTGCAGCATAGTATGGACTTGGTGGATTCAACCTCAGTCGTCTGTATGTGGGATGGGGCGGTTCGTACCAACTCACATTCAGTAGGAGGTATAATCATAAGGGATGGAGGCGGCTCTGTCTCTTGGCAAGAGGTGTGGTTTTTGAAAATATGATAGACCCTCTTGTGGTGGAGACTATAACCCTCCGGGAGGCAATTAATTGGTGTCAAGGCCTCGGCATCCATCAAGTTCATTTTGAAGGTGACGCGAAGGTGCTTATTGATAAGGTTAATGCTAAAGATGCGCAGGATAGTCGTGCCGGGGTTATTATCCAGGAGATCCTCCATTTGATGGCGCAGAGTAGTGGTTTTAGTATTCGATTCGTCGGTCGGAATAGCAATGGGGCAGCCCACTCAGTGGCTAGAAAGACCCTTTCTTTGTCTCCGACTATGTGTCGTTTGTTGATTTTCGTGCTTGGATTGGTTCCAGGGTGTAGTTCGATATTTTCTTATCATTTAATATAATTATTATCTTTTGTTAAAAAAAAAATCAGACCTGAAAACATGTAGTAACAACCTCATAATCTATGATCGTTCTCTTCCTCTCGACCCTCTTTAGTTAATAAACAAAAGAGAAGATATTGTTTGGAAAATCTTTCTTTTTTAGTTTCTTCTCATCAATCAACTATTGAAAAAAAGAGAAAAAGTCACCAAGAAATGCTTATTGTCGATCAGATTGAGTGGTCCATGGACAATCTATGGGGCCTTACTATGTTCAACAAATGTCAATATGGGAGTTTATTTCTTTTTTCCTATGATTAGGACCATTTTATTTTTCTCTCTTATCTTCTTTTTTTCCAAAATGTTTTCACTGCCCAATCCTCAAAATTACGTGGAGGATAGGCTACCTGAACAAGGCTGACAACCACATGGTGGTCTAGATGTCAGAAAGAAGTTATGGGTTTCTTTCCTTATCTAAGCACTGTCTTAGGTCTTAATTTGGGACTTTCTTCTGCTTACAATATTTCACCCTAAATGCTCACAATATATACGTGAGAACGTGTTCATATGATTGGATCGAAAATCAAAATTTTCACAATTGTTGGATAGATGTGATGATATTGTATTTAATTGTCATGGTGTCCATTTAGTGGTGGCGAAGGACATATGCTCGATCCAATGGTACCCAACGCCTGTGAGCAAATCCTCGCAGTTGAGACTATGAGGAGGATAACAAAATTGTGATGTTTTAAAGATGAATCATCTATTAATTGAGCTACTATTTAGGACTTAACTCGGGGTCCTTTCACTCTTTGGAAAATATATCATCTCGTTTGAAATATTATGGACCAAACCAAACCACATAGTTTGAGATATAATCTTTGTTTATATGCATTATGAGTTGTTTGCTACTGGTCTGATTTATATAGTCCATATCGTGGTTTACTAGATCAGACAATGTACCAAACTCACTTCATAATCCATGTTAGAAGCTCACTATACCACTCACTCCACTCTTCAATGAAACCCAAGTCTCAATCCTAATTTACGACTATCATCCCACCTTTCTCAATAGACCACCCTCCACGAGTAGAAAGACGACCACGTCTCCAAATGATATTATATAAATGTTTAAGACATTATGAGGAAAGTTAAGTTCTAACTTTGAGCATGTTATTTGCTCGGATTTAGTTTATTAACATTATACATGCCTGTTGGCATCTGAGTTCCAAAGAAAAGGAAAAAAGTAATTTTTCCCAGTTATTGATTCGACTATTGATTTGATTGACCGAACACATTATTCATTTTTTACTCAACATAGTATGCTTAATTCGACCCAAACCATACAATCTTCGTCTTTCCTCCTAAATAAGCTTTCATCAACCCACGGCGAGATCATCAAACAGTATCTTAACAAAGACTCCAACATAAACTATTCTTCAGACCAATCAACTTGGTCAAACCAAGATTGATTCCACCTTGCAAGTCAATTCGACTCACAGTCACAAATCAACTAACTGGAAACCGACCGCCAATTAGATAGAGGGATTTCGAGGTATTCTGATTCCCATCACCCACAGCCTTGCTAGTCTAGTACCCTTTCGTGTTCTTGTTCAGTCCAAGGCCTTTTGGAATATCAATAAGGCCAATTGGGAACAGTACTGTGCTCTTGATTCTCTCTTTTCTACCACCAAGTGAGGTACTGTACCAGGTAATGTAACTTTCCTCTTCACCCTAGAGATTATGCAATGGTATCTGAATCTGTTTATACATTCTGCCAAATGGCACCGCAGCCTTCACCATATTGTGGAGAAAGGTACATTTTTTTTTTCTTCCATGCATCAGATAGGGACAACAGATAAAGATAATTTCAATAATAACTACAGAGCCACACCCACACACAAAGATATGCATGGAGTTAGATCCCCTTTTCTTTCTTATCATCGAAAAAGAGCCAAATTCGCCATGATGCACACACTTGTGAAGAAAATTATGATGCCACGACTAGAGGAAGCCTTACATGCTTGGGGGGGGGGGGGGGGGGGGGGGAAAGAGGAGCTTAAACATTTTTTTTCAAATGCTTAGAAGCTTAATTTGCAAGCAGAATATAAGGGCAAGGTTAAGCTAAGAGTCATGAATATGTAGAAGAGCATGCCTCTGAAAAAATGGGTGCAAGTATATCTTTAGAACTTGAGGAGTCTTGATTGAGGAAATTGTGTATATAAGTATATTACAAGAATGTGTTTATTAAGATTATGTGATTACTAAGAATGTGTGAGTTCTAAGAATTCATTATTTGGAAAACCAGAAAACATAAAAGAATGCATGAATTCTACATTAAGTGAACTATGGATACTAAATCTCACAAAAAATATGAGATTAAGTATAACATCATTTTCTATGTATTATGAATTAATCATATATTCTCAATACATTCCTTCTGCTTTCAAACCAAGTAAAAAAAACATTGTTTTCTAAAACACATGCATGCTTTGAATACATAGTTAGAATCGGAGGTTTCAAACGACGCGAATTTCAAACTCTGATCCAAGTGGAAGCAACGTAATTGCTCTATGTAACACTCACAAGACTTTATTAGGAGTTGACTCCATGAGTTGAACCGAACTCATGCTTAGCTCATATCTAACCATATGGGGCAAGAAACGACATCACATAATTCTGACCTGGAAAGATGATTATGGGGTGTACCAATCACACTTTTCTTCTTTCCACCATTTGCACCAATTTTGTGTTCAAAGTGGAGGCCCTCCTTGCACGCCCTGCAATCATCAAGATAATCATCATTATGACTTCCTCCAATGGTTATTTATCAACCCAATATCGTGTGTTTCCTATTTAGGACAGAAAAACATCTAATTGTGGGATTTGCTATAGATCCAACTTGAGACCAATGTCTGCCTTGATATATTGTTAATTGAATGATGATCTAAACTTTTAGCACATAATGCAGTGGGAGGTCTCTATTAGCCAATGGTATGCGTTCAATGAGCTAGGATCCAAAGAAGCACCACTTTGGCTTTCTTCTTCCCACTGCTGGTTGCAAAATACACTGTATACATACCAGATTTTCAAATCTCGCACCTTTTACCATTATTGTTATGAATACATGATGAAATTTACCTCGGAGTTATCCATTTCAATAGATCTCCAAACGCAACCTAAGAGAATGATGGTATAGACAAAGAAGAAAACACAGTGAAAGTAAAAACAAGAAATTAAACAAAGAGTGGACATCTTTATTATTCAAGGACTCTTCATTGAAACTAAGTTGAATCCCAATCACTATGATCACGGATATCATCATAGGTGGAGGTGATTCGAGACGAATTGTCTTATCAGTATTCCTCATAAGTGATATTCTCTACAATATCGCGACAATAAAATTTGATGAACCAGAGCTCTACTTGTTAAAATTTAATGCCTTTTAGCATAACCATCATCAACAAGAAAGGGACATTGGCACTAGAAACAGGAAGAATATATTGGAGGTGAGCAGTGAAAGATAAATAATTGGTCTCATCATGGTTCTAAAAGCTAATACCCTCAAACCACTATTTTAGGAACTTTTACCATCGAAAGGGTAAAAAGAAAGAGACCAACAAGCCAGATTAAAAAAAATACCAAGGTCGTGATCCACGCTGACATTATAAAAGTCCTAATAATTTTACCATCCATCACATACGCATCGAATTGCCAATCAAAAGTGGCCTATTTGCGCTGCTTTGTGCATGGAAAATGGCAAAAGGAAAAAGGGAGAATAATAAACAAGTAAAAGCCATAGAGATATTTCATGGGCTAGTAGAAGAGCCATCAAAGGGGATGCAAAAGAAAAAAGGAAAGCCACCAGACTTCCCTATGCAAGCCATTGAAAACCTTTCTCTTGGCCTAAACCACGAGCACAACAAGTGACTAGTCAGCATCAAAAGAGTGTGAGTCGAGTCCTTTCGGCACATCCATCCAATTGGAGAAAAATAAACAACAATAATCATCAGGTCTAATTTGCTTGACACAAAAGAATATGCTAAAGAAGAAAAAACAATATGGAAAAAGGGTTAAAGCAGACCATTCTTGACATTACTCTCTGTTAAACCAAACTAAAGTCACATCCTGCAATGTTAAATCTTGCTTGTTTGTCGTTTGCTTCATGTTTCACATAAGATATCAATATCTCTACCTTTGCATATAATATATACCACACATCATCATTCTGGTATCCAAATGTCTCTATCATCAAATATCAAACTGCTCTATTGAAAGTGAATCGAACACAACACGTACATGAAAATGATGCTTGAAAATCCCAGCTTTGGCCTACCCCGTTAAGGAAGTTTTAGGCCAGTCAAAGCAATTTGTGACTTGAACAACATCAAGGATGTATGAGCTGGGATGTATTCAGGTCTATTATCAGCTAGAGTTAATTAATCAACAAACATATAATATAATATAATGTAAAGAAAACCCACAAACATGAAGCACGATCAGCCATCAAGGATGGCAATTTTGACATGTTTCAGAACCCCAACCTGCCTTGACCAGCTTTATGCGGAAATCATCCAACTCGCAAGCATGGGATAGGGCAGGCGTGGATCTTCTTCCCACTCGGTCAGTCCTGCACAAGCTTGTTCTATCTCGATTACCTCCAATATTTGATTGTATTTCTCCTATTTTGACTTCTGCTCAGTAGTTATATTTTAAGACACAACTACACTTAGGTTCGAGCCTTCGTCTATTTTGACTTCGTTAATCATGTCATCGTGTACAGTTCAAACAAGCGTCGTGGATCGACACTACCTCGACACATGCCCCAAGCAAAATTACCCAATATGACATACTCAAGTTTCAAGGTCGCGTTTGATTAATGAGATCTCAACCCATTGCCATTCCTAAGCACCAACCTTTGCCTATTAATAAAAGTCACCCCAGCAAGTTAAGACAAGAAGCTGAAAAAGCAATAATATAAACGACAACATTTTTCAGTGTCACATTTGATGAATGAGATGTGTCTAAAGTGGACCAGTAGTTTTCAGGAATGTTGTGAAATCATGAATATGCATGTCGTGACACTGAAGTACAAGTAAATCCAGAAAAGGAATTGTTGTCTCCAAAACCAACCCAGACCAAAACAAATTTGCTTTTATGAGGGTGGTGCCAACCCCATAAAGCATAATACAGCTACTAAATCTGGAGGAAATAACAAATTTATATATGCAAAAAATCTAGAGAAAAGACTAGAAATGACCACCCATATATATAATTTTAGTGCACAGCTGATTCGGACCCAAGACCAGTCATATCTTACCTATAAACAGTAGATTTGGTCGATGGTGGGTGTTGTTCAACTTGTGATTTTAGCATCCAAGTGCAGAATCGATTACCTTCCTTCTTTTCTCTTTCCCTTTCAGCACCGGATCCACTATAACATGCTGACTCCCCTGAAAGTTCTGGAAATAGCTGCTACATGAAGTTGAGTCAATGATAATAAGCAGCAAAAATGATTGGGAAGTCATACAACTATAGCTTACAGACATATGTTGAATCTTTTCAAGCAAGCATCTAGCACATGCCTAACAGAAGCTAACTAGAGAGAGAAGGAGAGAGAACCTTGCAACTAATGAAGGATAGCCCTAGGGACTAGCAACTAGCAACTATTCCTTTTAGGAAAGAAGCTGCAAATATTCCCTACAGACTTTGACTAACGTGGTTAAGCTCAGAGAATCAAAGGTATTCGGCGTAAATTTAGGCCAACTGATCCCCTCTTCGGAAGACATTGCAACAGGTGATGTCCACTAAACAACATGACAGGGATTAGTGCAAGGAGCAAAAAAGAAAAGCCTGGTAAAAGCTCCTAATGACATTTTAATTAAGACGAACGCAGTTCCCAATCTAGTTTGCTAAAGCTAAATCCAGTGCCCCCATGAAAATAAATGAATTGAAATGAAGGTGCCTGTTTGACACTTGGGGAGTGCTTAGCCCACTGACCAGCAACCAATAATAAACACAAGATACAATTGGTTCCATTACAAATGAGATGCATCAGGTCTCAAACAATCAATAAAGTTAAGGGATAATTGACAAGCAAGAGACAAGTACCTAATGGATGGCTTGGACACATCCTGCCACAAGTGGCTTAAAACACTGCAAAGCTTGATAATTGACTTATTGTTTCAGGAACTTAATTTTAAGGGATTTGAATAAGGTACAGATAAGTTACACCCCTCTGTCATTTTCTTTAGTGAGAGCAAATGAGAGGAATTAAGCAATAACATCAAACATAACTAGAAATGCAGGGTTGAGCAATGTAAGTATGACAAGTGAATGAAGTGTACACATTAAGAACACGGTACAGGCTTCTCTCCTTACCAGAAGCTCAAAGCCATGTGATTTCTGTCTTTCACCTTTCCAGGTTCTATACAGTCAATCTCCAGTGGTATGTGATTAAGTCAATGTACTATGTTAAAATTACTACATAAAGAAAAGTAGAAAGCATTATTGTTTATGAGTGAATCTGACGAAGTCAGAAAGATGCTATAAACCATCTATTAGCATTCATAATCTCACTCGATGCAAGGAACTCATTCCTTGAGAAAATGAGTGTCATTTAAGAGCTTTGAGACATTGGTGGTCACTCCAAACAAGGAGTGGGCTACTTTCTCTGCGCCTCTATCTCCTGCTTCTTAATTATGCTCTTTTTAATGGGTTTAATATAATTAGTTCAACTTCTTTTCTACCACTGAAAATAAAATAGAGAGTGAAGTATACAGTTACAGAATCCTCATAGAGAGGACTGAAACAGTGAAGCAAGTAAATCAGAAATAAAGTACAAAGACTTCCAAGTTGGGCTACTTGTTCAGTAAAATGAAAGCTGATTGGTTAGAAGGCACATATAAAAGAAAAGGGCCACTTGTACAAAGGAATTTCAATGATATATTGATACCACCAACCAATACCTTTATGGAAAGCAAGTTCTGTACTACTGAGAAAAGATTAATATCCTATGCTCTCATTCAGAAAAGGGGATAGTGTTTATCTCATACAGAGGAAAGCCGGGCATTAAGGGGAAGATGCATATAAGAGATTTGAAGAGGAGGAAAACTGGAGAGCAGACAAGCAGCAAAGATGAAGGGAGTGGAGGAGTCGGCGGTGGAGCTAAAATGGTGCTTAATTCCCATATCTCCACGACTCCATCCTCACTTGTATGAGTACAGCTACACGACTGAGATTATTCCTAGTTGGCCTACTAAAGAACACGTGGCAAGGGCATCCACCAGTCTTTCTTCAGTCTACAAAGATACATAATCTAAAGGTTAACTCAAAAGGGTTATTAGAAGTGTTCAGAACTGATTCCAAATTCCCTAATGTTCGTTTTTCTACATAGAGAAAGTAACCTAGGATTGGCCAGTCAACCCTAGGTTTTTGGTGAGTCTGCTGTATGGAAGGAATCTTTTATGTTCTTTTCTTTCAGCTATTGTATTAAGGTAGTTTGCTTCTTTATAAGATTTGGTTCAGTTTACCTAGACGTAGCATAAGGTATTCTGAAAGTATGTGGTCTATTCAAGTATTTCTTTAAGGAGTTGATTGATTAAACAACCCTGATTTCACTACCCTTCACAAAAGTGCTGAATCTAATTCCAATCCCATCAACAACACTATTCAAGATTATACATAGCTGAACACTTGTACACAAGATAACTGCATCATTTAAGGCTTTATCAAACAAAAGACACTAAAGAGCAAGAGCACATCCATATAAGAAAACTGGACAGATCTATTCAACTAGTGTGTTCCACAAATGTGGCTGAACAGAAGATTAATCATATGCTCGCATATTACGAAATTTCAAAGCTTGATAAATAAGTAATGTTTCCTTAGTAGGACAATTGCAATATAAGGTACCACTATCATCCACCTAATGTTAGTGGTTACCGGAGCTTGTTGACAATTGCTGAGAACCATTGGTCTCCCAGCCTGCAAATAAGAGCCTAAGTCCACGAACAAGTCTTTTACTGCAGACCAGCTATAATGGATTTCTATTTACATCTTTGTACAGTAAATATCTTGAACGAGTTTTACCAAGTGCAGCATACCTGGTAAGAATTAAAAGGTGGATAACTGTCTGTTATGTACCATTAGGAATACTCTGTTCAACCTATACAAAGTGGAGAAAGGTATGCGGCACTCACCACTGAGGCACAAATGGGGCCATCCAAATCGCATCACCAGCTTGGACAGGATACCTGCAAACTCAGCTTTGTTAGATCGAGCAATTTTTATAAACAACCAAGAGTTAAGGGGGAGAGCAAATTAAGTGCAGACATAAACCCTTCTAAGGTATTGCTTAAACTGCAGTAACGATTCTTGACCCTTGAGTATCATGTTCATTGAACTCTTACCAGCTGTCAGCCAGACGATATATCCCCTGTCCCTCCAATAGCAGTAGACCATGCTGGTTGTAATGGACTTCCTGCAAAACAGTTAACAGATCTTACATAACTAACATATAGAGAGGGGCAGGAGTTGACTATCAGCAAACTGCTGATAAGTGCCCAAGTCCCATGGTATCCTCTTCTCATTATGACATAACGGCATATTTAAGGAAAGCAACAGACTATGGCGATGAGCTTACACCTATCTGTTGTCCTAAGCCAAGCTATACGAGTTCATATCCTATCTCAATGGCAAATTAATTATATAAACTAAAGAAATTCAGAATCAACATTTCAAGGTAAGCACACGAGTTTAAGCTAGCCAAAAGGTGAACATGCCTTCACATTAAGGAATTCTCCTGGTTGAAAATCCATGATCTGCAAAACATGGAAACAGAAGAGAACACCATCAAACAATTGTAGCTAGAGACAAGAATGATCAAATAAATTTGAGCAAGAGCTAGAACCAAAAAAGATAACCAAGCAAGCATGAAAATTTAGTATCAAGTAACCAGTACAAAACAAATCAGGTAACCTCATATATGATGTGCTCCTTCCTAGTAGGAAGTAAACCAAAACAACGGGTGTAAGAAGATGGCACAGTAAGTGGCCTGCTTAGTTTTAACTTTTAGGGGTCGTTTGCTTGTTGGATTTGAAAAATGAGGGTTTTTGCCAACAAAAACCTTGGGATTTATGTTGGATTTATTGGATTATGGATTTGAAGAGTCTAATGTTTGCATGATAGATTTGATGATGGATTTGTGATAGATTTGTGAAATAAATAACTAACCATCAAGGATTTGCAAATCCCAAATCAATATGTGGGATTTACAAGTCCGTGGGGTCCACGGATTTGGTTCCAAAATAAAGACCAAATCCGTGGACCCCACGGATTTAGCACCCTTCAACAAACAATGGACTTATGTTAAATCCATCAAGCTTGGAATTTGGGTACCAAATCCATGACCCAAATCCAACAAGCAAACGACCCCTAAAGCTCCAAAATTTCCCAGCATTGATGGTTTTTTCAAACCAGGCATGCAATCTAGATTCTAGGGCACAACGGTGAAGACAACCTCCACCTGATTCAGCAGGGGAAAGTAAAGACACTTACTGAATCTAATGCCGAAGCATTTTCCACTCCAGCAAATACTTACATACCCATATTTTACTTTGATTTATCTGAAAAATATGGCTTACAAAAGGTTTTTTATACATTACTTATAAAAACTTTATCATTCCACTAAACTTACAGAACTACTTGAACACATTCCTTCAACAAATGACGGTCTTGAAGGGATCTGCATTCTCTATCTCTATTTCAAAATAACATTAGGAATAACTGCAGAGTCAAAACTAGAAAAGTGAACTGCTGCTTACATGGATATTGAAGTCATATTGCAATGTCTGTGGAAGAAGCTTCCTAAGTTCAAAAACCTGTTAGTATATCATGTATCAGTGCAAGTTGTGCAAGCATGCACCAAATCATAACTAAATAGCCATTCAATTAGCAAATCGTAAATAAGTATCAAACCAGCAATAGATAATACGAGGACAACTCTTCTTTCACTCTGAAAATAGCCTCACATATATACCGTAACTGGATATGTACAGTAAATAACTTTTATTTAACAAAACCATTAAAGCCTTAGTCACCAATTCAGGGCAGAAGGAAGGTGCAGCAAGGAAAACTTCATAACATAGCTGATAATCTCAAAACTACTCTTATTCATCAAAAAGGGGGAGAAACTCTCAAAACTACCCTTCATATCCCTTCAATTAATAAAATGATGTACAGTAGTTGTCCCAACCCTCATTTCATGACTTACCCATTATTAATACGCACCGTTCAACATAATGATGTTGGTTTGGAAAGATCATGACCAGGGTTAGTAGTACATTTACATTCAGGCATCACAAATTCACAATATACCATGTCTGCACATTTAAGGTTGTCTACATGAATGAATGTGCTCGCGAGAGTAAGAACACATGAGCATATGCATACATGTGAGTTACAGACGCAACTGCTAAGAATTCAGAAATGGAAACAATAAAATCCCTTTCCCACAAAAAACTAGGAGTAAATGTGAGATCCAAAAGAACCTCATCTAATGATCTAACCTCGCCTGGAGTTTCAAGAAGTGGCTGTTCGTCTGTAGAACCAACAATTTGCTCGGGCAGGCGGTCCATTGTAGAAGCATACCTTCAAGGGTAAGAAACTCGTTTACCATTTGCAGCTGGATGTATAGCTAGACTGCAAGCACCACTAATACCATTAAGTTACTAAGTTCACACACCTTCTCTCAAAGACAATGAGAGTAGCAGATTCAACACACTCCAGTTCATGGTCGTAATTTGGAGGCAAGTAGGCATAAGAGTCCACCTATGTCATTGAGAAGCTTGCATTAGAAATCAACACCGCTGTTGCACGTTGCATCTTGCTAATAAAAGCAACTTACCATAAGCTTCTGAATAGCACCTGATGCATTAGTCAGGGAGGCAGAACCCTGAACCACAAATAGGAACCTAATAATCATTGAAAAAAACATGAGTTAGGCAGGGTTTCCCTGACCAGACTTTTATAATAAGGACAGCTTGGAGGTGTCTGAACAATTCCTTCACCTCTCTACCCCACTAGGAGGTCGGCCTGCCCTTGAATTTTCTGCAGCTCACATCACAAACCAATCAATCAAAATCATTGAGCACATGCATAAAGCTTGGTATGGTTCACACTTGACATGGCAGTATTTACCATCCAAGAACTCTAGCTCAAGCCAACTAAGCATACCTTTCATTTTTGCAAGGTACATCACAAAGTGTGAGCCCATAGCTGGGGTGATCATATAAGCTCCCAACGCATTTGTCCTGAAAAATTCCACAAACATCTAAACTCGAAAAAAGAAAGAACCTAATCTATCGTCTCTCAAAATTTTCCATGAAGCAACTTGAAATGTGAAAGCAGAAGGTACCACTCTGGTATAGGGCTGAAGACGTGACTTTCAGGCGTGATCAGCGCATGGTCAGTTTTGTAGACACTGCGCGTGAAACCTGGCAAATCTGTTGCATACCAGCCAAAGTACTTCAGCTCATCACAATACTTAACTATCCAGGTACTCGGCGCAATTCATTACAAGCACAGAGAGAACTGAACAACCATTTGCATCACATGAATCTAAACACTGATGATACCGGTAGAACTAATACCAGCAAGCTAATTACATATCCCTAAATTAATTAATCCTCTAGACAATGAAATGAACTCTTCCACCCATTCAGTTCCGAGTACATCTCTACCGATAACCAACAGAACTGTTGGGAATCAACCTAGAATAGCAATGATCTCAAAAGAAAAGACGAAGGCGAGAGAATTACTGACCCCGCAGATGATCAGGAGATAATGTTGGGTTCGTCACTTTCCAATAGAGATGTTTCTGCTCCTCTTCAGTCTCCGTCACTGAAGGCACGGAGCAGAATCCTCCATCCGCAAAACACAGATTCACCGTTGCTACAACCACCTCGCAATTACGGAAACAATTAGTTCTTAGATTAAACTGATTCTTACTGTGAACCGACAACCGAATCTCGCTGAGTTCTAGTGGTCTGTGCAAACTTCTGCCTGCTTGCTTACTTGCAGTCGAATTTTTTTTTTTTTAGGGAAAAGGAAAACGGAAGCGAGAAAATTACGTTTTAAAATTTTCTCGGGAAACGAACAAGTTGGAATTGAAGTAGAGGAGATGGCAACGTACTTGTTGAGAAGACGGCGAGAAGGAAAAGGATCGACGGCAGGGAAGGTAGGAAGTGAGTCATCTTCCGGCGGGTCTGCAGTTGCGTTGCCCGGCGACGGTAAACGGAGGTAAGTGACTAGTGGCTGAGTGGCCAGACAGACCGCGATTTTTTGTGTGAAAGCGCCAGAACGGGGGCCCACGCAACTACCTAATCTCATAATGCAGCCATTTGAATATTAGTAGCTGTTTGGAGGTTAGATTCTCTCCGTATTTAATCAATTGGGATTGTAATTTGATGTATTGGTTATAATCTCACCTTTTGATAGAGGTTGATAATCACTTATTTTGTAGGTGGATTTAGAAAAAGGTAATACATATATTCTGTCATAAATTTAATCAAATAAATAACTTAATCTTAACATTACATGCATTGGCTAAATACATTGGTTGAAATCCCAACCTCCAAACGACCCTACATATACAATACATGTATTTGTGAAATATATCAATTATAACAATTCACTCGAATTATTGAAACATGTCACAATTAGTCACTCTCCCGTTTATTGATGGAGTTGGACGGAAACTAACGGGATAGTGACTAAATGTGTCATTTTTCCAGTAATTCGAGTGACCAAAATTGATATTAAATTTTTCTAGTAACTAAACATGACTCGATTTGGTAATATTAGTGACCAAATGTGGCATAAACCCATTTTTAGGGCGACGAATAGCAATGTCTTTTTTAATCCATAGATGGGCCTTCTTAGGTACGAGGGAAAATGTACAACTGGTACACTCGGAGATATTATATTTGGAATTGAAGTACATAATATTTTTCATGCGAGTGATGTGAACCTGAATAATAGGTTTTGTAGTGATAAAACAAGGAAAGGAGAGGAAATATTTTTATACATGAACATACCAATGGATAATCAATTCCCAAAAAATGGTTTTTATGCATGCTTGGTCTATTCTAATTTCTATACACTAATGAAACCTTACAGAAATTCTTTTTTCGAATGAATAACCCTGCCCACGTGCATTAATTGTCAACCAAATTCAACGAAATATTTGCCGAATCAAACGCGCTTGAGGTCTTCATGCATCATTGATTTTGGTTTTATTTTTTCTGTGGTAATTGTCTTTTCAGTTCTGACTACATTTTCGCGCCAAAAAAGATAAAAGAGACTCTATCGAAAACTGTAATAAATAATTTATAAATTCTAATTCTTTTCAAATTAACGATCAACAGTGTTTGAGTCACAACCACCTCTCCTTTTTTGCTACACTAAAACATATCTAAAATTAGCTTCTCGCTGCCACTTCTATAAATCCTTCAATCTTCCCCCAAATCACAACCATCCTCCCCTCAAATCCATCCATCCATCCATCTACCACAATAAAAAAGGAAAAAAAATTAATAAAAATGGCCTCCATTAATAAACACCTTCATCTCCGGATCGCAATTCTTCTTCTTCTCCTTCTAGTTGCTCTGTTTTCCCCGATCGAATCCCACTCCGCCCCTGTCTCAGACCTGTGCGAATCCGTGTGCCAGAAGAGCACCAACTACGCGTCGTGCATCAAAACCATAGCAGCCGACCCGCAGCTGGCGAAGGCCGGGGACGTCAAAACCCTAGCCACGCTCGCAATGGAGAAGGCGAAGAAGCAGTCGGCGACGCTGACCAAGATGTTCGACGAGATGGAGAAGAAGAACGGTGGCGGCGAACCGAAATTTCAGGAGGCGCTGAAGCTCTGCTCGAAGGATTTCAAGGACGCCAATTTCTTCTTCAACCCTCAAGGGATGGGCCCCATATTCAAGAGCGAGGACATCCACTCGGCGCTAGACTATTACCAGAATTGCAAGAGGTTGTTGAAGCGGAATGGGGATTTCGACAAGGTGGGGCCCGAGCTGAGGAAGTGGAGGCATTTTTACACCATCGCCAGCGGGGCGATTCTGAAGGCGGAGGCTGATGCTCGTGGCAAATCGGGTGATCTCCTTGCCGGCGGCGGCGGTGGCGGCAGCGTCGCTGGCGGTGGAAGTGCCGGTGCCCCCAGTAGCGTCGCCAGCGGTGGCGGCAGCGTCGACAGTGGAAGTGCCAGTGCCCCCAGCAGCGGCGGCGCCACCGGCAGCGCCGGCAGTAGCAGCAGCACCGGCGGCACCGCTGGCGGCAGCGCCCCCATGGGCAGCATTAGCAGCATGATTGACCCCAGCGTCAGGAGCTTCTTCGACAGCTCCAGCGGCGGAGGCGGCAGCATTGACGCCGGTAGTGGCAGTGGCAGCGGCGGTGCCAGTGGCAGCGGCGGTGCCAGTAGCAGCGGCAGCGGCGGTGCCAGTAGCAACAGTGGCAGTGGCGGTGCAAGCAGCGGCGGCAACAGTGCCGGCACCGGTGGCGGTATCGGGCTTCCTCCTTTAGATTTGCCGTAAATGAATTTGTAAATTTCATAAAATTCTATTATTTATATTTATGGTTATGTAATAATGTAGAGGTCATTTGGTTGGTGTATTTATAAGACGTGTCATTTCTTAAAAAAAATTAAAAAAGACGTGTCATTTGGTCAAATTTAGATATTTGACAATATAGGTATTTTTAGATGCATTTTTTGTTTAAAAAGTTTTGATGAGTCTTTTTTTCAATAAGTCACAATTTTGTGTTTCATTTTCTTGTTTTCTATCTTAATAAAGCCAGCCACGGAAACAATTTCAATTTTACAACCAAAATTTAACATATGATTTGGGTATTAGACTATTAGTTATGTATACTACTATTTTTTAATTTTGAATAAGAATTTTATGTTAACTTCAATTTCCTTGCAAATTGCAACAACTCCATAGTATACCATTTTACAACTAAAGATAACATATACTTGAAAACGGTCTAAAAATAATAACGACTACTTGCCGTATTTGGTTTGGTATTGCTATCGCACATGACTTCAAGAGTCATGATGATATTACGGAGGAACGTCTTTATCAGAATATTTTTGCTTCTCACTTCAGACAATTAGCAATAATTTTTTCCCGGACTTCCGGAAATATCTTTTAAGACAATTGGAAAATATATATTGTTCAAAAACAGTTGGGAAGTATTGAGTTTATAACGACAAACAATACTAAGTATTGGATTTGTAAAAAAAAAAAATGAGAGGATTAAAATTGGAGGAAAAATTATTAATGTAAAGATGATTAGGAGGACAATAGCCATTTGAATATTTCACTGAAATCAAATAAATGGCTTGTTTTCTTTTTCGTTGACAAACAAGTTATTTAATATAAAACTAGCTTCGTACCCGGCCTATGATTTCGTAAGCATTTTTTTTGTATGTTAGTAATTTTATAAACTTAAAAAATCTAATATGTATGTAAAAAGTGTAAATTTTAACTTAAAACAACTAATATGTATGAGCTAAATTTATAAACTTATGCAACTAAAAAATTAATATGTTATTTATAAAAAAAATCAAGTTAAGGTAAATTTTTTTTTTTTAAACAATGTGATATTTGTACGAAAATTCAAATTACTTGAATATCCTATTACTAATACATCAACTTGAAAGCCAAACATATATGGCAAGCTGATTCGAGAACACGTATTGAAGGTTGACTTATCGCTAACTCTTATTTTTCTTGCATAAACATCCATACATATAATAAGGGTAAATTGCAAGTTTGATCACTGAAATTACTAAACAATTTCACGTTTGCCACTAAAATTACTTTATTTCATTCATGGTCACTAAGATTAGTTTAACAATTTAAGTTTGACCACTTTCCGTTAACTTTTGTCGATTTGGCAATCAATCTTTATAGTTGACTGTTAAATGAGTGATGTGGCAAATAAAAATAATAAAAAATTTAATTTAACTTTTAATAATTTCAACCTCGTTATTACAACAAGAAAAACAATTAAAGTTCAACCTGTAATCTGCGAGACGGAACAACTTCGACCAAAGGTTCGTCCCATCGGCCATAAGACCTATTTCCCGTCGCGAATTTGATGCCTCCTCCAAACCTCCCTCCCCACCTCGGCCGACTCCACCTGTAATCAATCTTCCGTTCACAATCCCCAGATATTCGATCGCCACCACAATTACATCCGCGTGATACTCAATTACACTCCCTGAAAATATCATCACCAGAGACCAAAAAGGCAGGGAGTACTTCTTCTTCTCCCTCCAACGAGCACATAGTGATGCTTCCATTAATGACGCAAGGCCACCTGATCCCATTCATTGCCCGCTAAATCATCTGCGGCCTCGTCACCATCACAATCGTCACCACCCTATCAACCTCGACTCCCTCCGGCGCAACCTCTCCTACGAACCCACCGTCGCTACCCAGCGCTCCAACAGATCACAAGTCGCTGACGACGACGATGAAAGCTCGGAAGGAGGAGGAGTTGTTCTTGACCGTGTATGGGATGGAAGGGAACAACGCCGTGCACGGTGAAACCATCACAAACACCATCGCGACGTTCGTTATGAAGACGTATCAGATGGTCAACGACCCATTGATGGACAACCTCATCTCCTGGGGGAAAGCCAACAACAGCTTCCTCGTCGTCGACCCTCTCGATTTGTCCAAGCGAATCCTCCCCGCTTTCTTCAAGCACAACAATTTCTCCAGCTTTGTTCGCCAGCTCTACACCTACGTACGTGAATCACAAATCATCGAAATGAATAGAATATAATCGAATTGAATTACTCTGTTTTTTAAAAAAATTGCAGGGGTTCAAGAAAGTGGATCCGTATAGGTGGGAGTTCGTGAGCCGATGGTTTCTAAGGGGGCATAAGCATTTGCTGAGGAAGATAGTGAGGTGGAAGCAATGCAAAGGGTCGATGTTGATTGAGGATTTTATGATGGAAGGGAACGAGGAGATGGCAATGGAGATTGGGAGGTTAAAACAGGAGCAGAGATCGATGGAGATTGGAGAAGCATCTGGAAGGGATGAGCAAGCAATTAAGGGGTTTTTTTTTAATTTATAATAATTAATTGGAAAATAAAAGTACTTTTATTTTATTATTTTTAATTGTTATGTCACTCGTTTAACGGTCAACTATAAGAGTTCACCGTCACATCAGCAGAGGATCCTCTTGGTCAGCGATATTGTATTGATTTGGAGGTTCAATTGCTGGTGCCATTGGGACTGGTGGATTGTCGTAGGGCAAAATTTCTGGAATATGTAAGTTGCTGTAAATTCTGGTGGCTGTGGTGGTTGACAGATACTTCACACCTGCGAATGCATTATGGTTGTTTTTTTTTTTTATTAATCTGAATGTTCTTTTTGTATTGAAGATGAATTCTGATTAGTATTTGATTACAATAGTAAATACGATCCATACCTTTATAATCTTTGACGACTACGGAAGTGATGATCAATAGTATTGGACCATTATCGTTTGCGGTGAGGATGCAGGTGAACTGCTCAATAGTTTCTCCACATATCGTCACTTGAACCTTGTCATTCCTGTATACAATTTTTTTGAAGTGATTATGATGGGTATTGGTTGACATAGTATCATATCAAATGTCATGAATTATTATGGGAATGAAAGGTCGGAATACTTTCCCTGGGAGGGCAATTTGAAGCTCTTTTCTGACAGTTCTGGTTGTTCCATTGGAATGGCTTGCAGTTGTTGAGTACTCCAATAGACGGCCAAAGGCATATGAAATAAATATTGAAAGAATTTTGTTCAACCCGTTTTTTCCATCTTAAACCGAATGAAAAGTGTCTTAGCACTTAGAATCGTGATGTAATTACATTTGCTGGTAAATTCAGAAGATTTCAGGAAGCAAAATTTGTAGCGGGGCATGTTTTCATCTTCTGTTGTTGGATGTATCATTGTATGGTTGGTGATGAGGATTGTGAGCGGATTGTCAGTCGGCTGGTAGTCTCCCTTGGTTTTCTTGACAACGAAAGAATTGATGAGATAAATCTTCTTTTCTTGAAGTTGTTGTTTAATCGTGTCCATCAATGGCTTTGGCACTTGTGCTAAAATGTCTTTGCCTAGAGAAATTATATATTTATACATTTAAAACAATGGAACTCTAAATATTGACGTTGGTGTGTTAGTAATTGAAGGTATTCTAACAAAAATATCGATTTTGGTACCTTCCCATCGATTAAAATTATGTCCAGACGCATGAGTACTTTGGTTTTGATGTTGACTGCATCCCACATCCTGGAGACTCTTGTTCGAATCGTACCCTGGAAAGGTCCTTCTTGAAGATTTTTCAGCAGTGTCACTACATAAAAAATCCCTTGTAGCGACATTTTTATCACGACAATTTTAAAAAATGTCGTTCGAATGTGAGAGACAAAAAGTTGTGCCGTCACTTATTTAAAATGTCGATAAAACATATTTTAAAGCGATGTATGTTGCGAGAGTTTTTGTAAATGTCGGAACAAGATGAGTGTGTGGCGTCATTTACAAAAAATGTCATAATACACATATTTTGTAGCGACATAAGTAACGACAATTGCAGAGAATGTTGGTTAATCAATAAACCAGATGAGGATACAACGTCATATGCAAAAAATGTTGAAACTACTAGTAAATAAAACCCCAGTCTTCACCGTTGGATGTTTTTTGACGCCTCTGGCAACCGAACGGGTAAACGTTTGCAGTGGAGTTGGATGTACAATTCCGCTGCAAATGGGTAATATATGGCTTGGCAAATTTGTCATAGACGGTAGTAGTGATTGGAGTGACTATGACACGCAGTGACTTTGGTGGTGTCGATCATGTTCTTTAAATATTGCTCCATCGTTTCCAAAGTAAATCTAATTGGCGATTGTGTGGAGTTTGAAATGGGCGAGAAGATGCGATGGTTTGTTGGGTTTGAGCTTGAATTTTCAAAGGAATTGAGATATCCGTCGGAGAGTAGGGCTTACGTCGGAATTGCGGCGGTGGGTCTGTTTAAAGATAAGGTTTACAGTGTGTTGGTGGTAGTGTCGATTGGGTGAAAAGATGTGATGGAGTTTGAAATTGGCGAGAAGATGTGGTGGTTTGCTGAGTTTGTAATTGGCGAGAAGATGCTTGGCTTCCTGTTTGCACTAATGTAGCCAATGTACGATCTAGGCTTTTGGTGATGTACTTGAATAAGTATTTAATGGACCTGCAAAATTAAATTTTGTACTTAAATTATGATTAGCCCTCATATGATCAGATGTATGGCATATGTTGAGCGGGATGAGATACGATAACAACCCTTAAGGGGGTTGTGAGATTGACAACCAAGGATATTTTGGGTATGACAAAAAAATGAATTTATTAATTAATTTTTTTATTGACCACAGATTGGGAATTAAAAACCCATATTAAATACATGTTTTTTTAAAATTTTGAATCCTATAATAAATACAACTCTCTCTTCCTTTTCAAGCAGCCACTCACTCCGACCGGCAGACTTTCTCCAGCAAGATCCTTGAATACGACTCGCTCCGGCCACCTGTAAAAAATTAACACTCTGTCAGTACGTTAGTGGTACGTACCACTACCACTGGTACCACTGTCATCTGGTACCGGGTAGTGGTAGTGTACCACTATCATTTGGTACCACTACCATCTGGTACCTGGTACCAAATGATAGTGATAGCGTACCACTACGAGCTACACTCCATATAGTACCACTACTAGTAAAAAATCAGTACCACTACCAGTAGAAAATCAGTACCACTAGAAAAAAACCAGATCTGAAAATCCAAAAATCACAGATCTGAAAAACGAAGAGGAGGAGAGTAGAGGAGGCACAAAGAGGCAAAGGGACTCACACCGGAAGAGGTAAGGAGAGGAGGCACGACGGTGGCGATAGAGAGCTGGCAACGACAGGGGGTGGAGGGCGCCGGAGGATTGCGGCGACGGTGGGGGGCTCGGCTGGGGGGTGAGAGATGTGGCGTCTATGGAGGGTGGCGGGCTATGGATGACGACGGAATGTGGAGGGCGGCGGAGGCAGTGTTGGGTGGAGAGAGGCGGCAGTGGTGGTGGAGGCCGGTGGCGATGCCGTCTGGAGAGAGGGAGGAGGGAAAGAGAGAGAAGAGGGGGAGAGGGAGGAGTTAGAGGTTTTGTTTTATTTATATGGGAGGGAGAATGATTAGGTGTGGTCACATTTTTTCTTTCCAAAAATACCCTTCTTTTAATCCTAACCATCAACTTAAGAAAAAAAAAAGATACATGAGAAAGAGCGCATCCAACGGTTGGAGAGTGGGTTGTGAATCTCACAACCCCCTAAGGGGGTTGTCACCGTATCTCATCCTCTGTTGAGCTTCATATGGAAGCAAGTTGTCTTAAACATCAGGAGGGATGGTTTTGTGGCTAAATGCTTGATGATGTGCATTTAAATAAGAGACTACTACAGGAAACATTAGCATAGTTATACTGAAAGATGTAATAAGTTTGGAAATAGTTTTAAATACTAAGGAGGTCAACAAAGTAGAACACAAAATGCAGTAAAGGAAGTTCCACTAGAAAGAACAAATCACGTGCAACCAAGTTGAACAACGCGAGGACTAATCTTTCAAAGGGACATACATAATACACCATAACAGAACAAAAACATTGAAGGGTTATACAAACATAGGTGCTCATACATGGATTTATTGCACCATTCAACATTAATATGAGCACCAAATCTTAGTAGTAGGTAGCGGTTGTATGGAACAACAAATCGGTTGTCTAGTGGAATACCATTTTTTACAATGGTACGTCCATCCTGACGTCTACGATAGATAGGAAAGCCATCCCCATCGATAGATGTTTCAGAATGAAACTTTTTAGGGAAATGGCGTAGACCACCACATGGTCCATGGATCATAAATTTTTCAACAACGCGAAAACAATAAGGATCTTCATTTTTGTCTGGAATTTCAGCTGAAATAATGGAGTCAATTCTATCAGGTCCAATAAACTTGTCCTTCGAAACAAAAATATGAGCAAATGTGCATGTGACAGTCCACACTTTTGAAATTCAATTGTATAAATCTCTACAAAAATGAATCCAAAATGTTACAATACAAAAAATTAAAAAGTAGAAAAATATGGTTGAATAATGGTAAGTAGGCTAAATGTTGTTCACCGCGAACTTAACAGGTGCCTTGTGGGCAAATTGAAATTGAATTTACTATTATTGGCTAATTGCAAGTTTTGTTTGTTAATAATACACAACAACCATACATGTAAAGATTAACAGGTGGAAATTTGGTTAAAATCGTCATCTAGTTTGACATCCTATAAAAATAAGGATTTGATAAAGGGAATGTGTAAAATTTGTATAAAAATAGCAAATATGATGTAATGAATGTGTTGTGACTAAGCTGAATAGTTATAAAAAATTTATCTGCACATGTGCGGCCAAAGATGTGTTTGGTTTTGATATCATGAAGTAATTCATTTAATTTTATCTTGAATATTCTTGCAATAACATCTGCTCTATTTGGATCTTTACAGCCGCCAACTTTGAGGAGATCAATAATATACTGTATCTCGAGGCATCCAGCGTTGCAAGTGAACGTCAGGAATAAATCAGGATAGCCAAACCAACGCCAACTAACCATAGTATCTTGAAAGTTCTCAAACATATATTGTGGGCTACCTGTATGAGAATATGATAGAATGACATGCTTGCTAGTCAAATTGACATTTGTATCTCCATTAAGAAAGGAATCAAGAATGCCTGCGAAGATGTTGTAATGCAACTTTCGTTGATTTGAGTGAATCCAATCCAATCTTTCAGCTTCAATTAATGTGTAAGCATTAACAACGTATTGCTGAAATAACTTTCCAGACATGAACAATGTGGAACCTTTATCTAAATAGTTGCACCAATTGATTGTGTTCATCAAACATTTCATTCAATTGTCGAATGAGATCATCTTGCAATGGGTTGCCATTCTGGAGGACATTGTAAGTTTGCTTCCGATTGGTGATTTCTTCAGTAGTATCGTGAATATATAACTGCGCAAATTTGGGTGGTGACTGTGACGATGGAAGTAGAGAGCCAATATGATGATAAACTTGTCCGCCTATACAAAATACATATGAACCATGATCATGATTAACTAAGTGGTCAACCTTCCTGTCCATTGAAGTAAACGAAAATACAGCATTGTATGTACGGATGAACTCCCGAAAATGCTTAGCCAAACTGTCATAAGATTCTAGCAGCCATTTAAGAAAGGGGGTACGGTTCTCTATTAGGTGGCAGCTTGACCTTCCCTTCCATACAACATAGAGAAAA